GGATGAATATGGGGTCCCTATACCAGGTCTCAAGAATTGTAAGAACCTGGAGACCGCGCAGGGATAAGTCGCTCTGAGTTCTTATCTTATCTCCCCATGGCCAGTTGAGTGGTGTCTAGCATGGGAAAGATAGCGCGTAATGTAGACGCATGATTAATAACCCCCCTCCTTTTAGGAGCCTAAATATTAGGATCCTATTCTAATCCCTATTAAGGGGAGGGGTTTATTCATCAGGGGTCTGGGTTAGGCAAGACAGGTAGGAGATAGGGACTATTATCAGGGATTTGTACTGGCTACTGTAGGCAGGTGAGTAGGGGTGCAGGGTTTTTAAGTCTGCCTTCTATAGCACCTAAGATGGTGAGAGCCAACATTGAGCTGTAAACCAGAGATGTTTTCTTGCAAGCGGCAGGCTCTCAGCCTTTACCATCAGAACTTGACCAGGTTTTTTTGGGTGGAAAGGCTGTGAGGAGCTTCCCAATCCTTTCTGAAGATTGCATGGGAATTGTTGGCAGTTGTTTGATTCCACAGAGGAACTACTGAACCAGCTCCAGGTATTGCCCCTTCCCTTGCTTGGAACCCTGTACCTCCCACCATGAACTGGCTGGGGCGATGACCAAAGGCGTGTAGGAGCGTGCGTTTGGCTGAAGACCTGCTTTGGCTTTTGCAAAGCGTCTCACAGTAGCGCCAAGACAAGTAGTAGCAACACTGCAGAAGAAATGCTGATACCTTTGAGGCTACCGTTGTCTCCTTCAAGACTGCGACTGCAAGAAGTCCTGCTGCCCATTCTTTTCCATGTGAAAGCGATCTGAAAAATGCACTGCAGCTCCAGCTTTTGCTTCAGACTCCATCCATGCGGGATGCCCAACTGTACGGCATCTAGCGGATGCACATATTCCACAAAAAAGGGACCCCCCCCCCCCCCCCCCAACAACGGAAAGATGCAAGTCCCTGCCAAGAGCAGCAGAATCAAAAGCAAGACCTTTGCTGCTGTTACTACTCTTGCTACTAAAAACCCTATCTATCCACATATTGCCTAATCCCTAAACCCTTAAAATAAGAGTTTCCAATTTCTTTTCCATCATCACTACATATCCCCACATTACCCCTACTATCACTACTAATTAACCACTGATGCCGCTGCCTATGAAACTACTGCGGGGGCTGGGGGGGTAGCTACTTGTGTATGAGCTATATAATAAAAATTCCTAGCATCCCCTAGTTACAGCTATACTACTCCTCGAAAGACTCCCCTATATAACCCCTCTAAGGAGCTTAGACCCCCTAAATCCTAAACATTACAAGGAGTTTGGACTACTGACTAAAACTCATATATCCTGGTTGTAGGTTCCACTGCATCGCTACATCCATCACATTGCATTCCTTGTGCAAAACTCATGCAAGCCTCAATGTCACACTCCTGACGAGCCCTTCTTCAGGATATTCTCAGAGATACGTAAACTTGTTGGCTCCCCTTGTTCCTGTACTTGTAAATTGGTCTTATTGATGAACTCGGGGAAGGGTTTGTCATCCCTTGAAGCAGAAAGCATGCTCATGCTGCATTAGCTAGTAGTACATGCGGTCTGCAATATAACTGCTCTCATCGGGAATAGGTCAGAGTTGGGATGTATTCTGGAGTAGGAAGCTTGCAACTTTTAAGTCAGCCCTCTCCATGCGCATACTTTGCACACTTTGCATTCGCCATCGTCTTTACCATGACCCATGTTGCCAACTGTTATAGTCCCCCTTCAGTAGATAAAATGTGGGGCATATCGGGATCTTATTATTATATATCCGAAATCCATATTCTATCTACTCAAGGGGGACTATACCTCATGAGAAAAGCTACATCTCTTTTGGCTCTGCCAGCATTGTTCCACCCTTACACGTTTTCCACATACTTCCCATCTGGGGGGGGGTTCCCAAAATTGGGAGTACCGACCATGATGGAGAATCAAATGGAGAAGAACATGGAAAATGAAATGGACACTGGGATTATAGGGGATCATTGGGATTAGGGTTTCCCAAAATTGGGAATACTTTTTTGGGGGTCCCCATAATACTGATTATTGTATTGTGGCGTCTATACTGTGGTCCGCCTATTTAGGGAAACTACCATATGGGGATTTCCCAAAATTAGGGGAACCATTTTGGGGGTCCCAATAATGAGGACTCTAGTATTTTGGGGTCTATATTGGGGTCCCCTTATTTTGGGAAATTACCATATAAGCCGACCTGATACATTTCTTACTCACAGTGAAACGTCACAGTGAGTTTAGAGGACCTCGAGGCTCAGATGCATGCGGCTGCCCAAAAACCATATCAGCCGTACACAACCCCTGAGTAGGCAAATTCATAACTCAAGGAGCTGATCACTTAAACAGGGCTATGCCCTAAACCCTGAACCCTATTCTATCTACTTAAGGGGGATTATGCCCTAAACCCTAAACCTTAAACCCTAAAGCGGGGCAACCAGCCTGCATCTTTCAACTTCGCGAGCCACTTTTCTGCTTCGGCCAACTGAGATAGCTGAGGGAGAATGCTTCGGCTTCAAGTGGCTTTGAGGACACTATGTGGACATAATCTCCTGCATATTCAAATTAAGGGTCAAAATTCCGGGTACGTTTTGGGGGTCCCTATAATGAGGACTAGAGTGTTTGGGGGTCTCTATGCCATTATTTTGGGAAACTTCCAATTATGCTATGGGCTTTTCCTGTTGTGGAAACAATTTTCGTTCAAAGTTTCAGCTAGACTTTATGTGTTTACTGAGGTCACTGGGGAAAGCCCAAAAAGACTATCCACTTCAGCCGAGAACCCTACGTAAACCCTAAAACCTTAAACCCCCAAACCCTAAAAACCGCAACCTAATTCTTGAATAGGAGCCCTAAATCACGAGGCGAGCTCTCATTGAAGGAATGCTCAACTTCTCGCCATGGCCAGTAAGAATGTATAGCCCTGCTTTAGGGCGTAAGGTTTAGGGTATAGTCCCTCTTAAATAGATAGAATAGGGTTCAGGGTTTAGGGTATAGTCCCCTCAAATATCGATAGAATAGGGTTCAGGGTTTGAGGTTTAGGGTAGTCCCCCTTAAGTAGAAGAATAGGGTGCAAGGTTCAGTGAATAGCCTCTTAAGCGCCCGTTTTGACCCGCTTATCTCAGCTGGCAGGGCTCCATCCGGAGCGGGGTTCAGGGTTTCGGGTATAGTCCCCCTTAATGTGGATAGAATAGGGGGTTTATGGGGATCTTATTATGATATTGAACAATATGATATTGAGCAATTCCATACTCTATCTACTTCACTCATACTAGGACGCAACTTCTCGAGGCATGGTTCACAGGAACAAAGGTAGCAATGCTGGTGCAAATAAGGAGAATGAAAGCAGCGACGAGCAGCAACGGTACTCACACCAAAACTAGTACTATAAACGGGATAGTTGGCCCAGACAGGGCCACAACTAGGATCACGGCTTTTTCAGCTCTTGACTTAACAATGAATCCCCATATCCTGTACTTATCCCTGCTTTATCCCATTATATTGATTTACCTACATCGACTTTCCCACTAGGGGACCCTGAAATGCCGAGGCGGCTGCCAGACCTCGCCGAGCGAAGCTGTCGATGATAGCGTTGAAGGCCACCAGGTCGGGAGAAAGGCCTGGGTACATCGGGGCTAGATGGGTCTTACTGATATTACCCCAACAATGGAGAATTAACATGGAAAACAAAATGGATATGAAATGGAAGCTGGTAGATGGGAGTCTCCTAAATACCGGGCCCCTAGGAGCCAAGGCTACATAGGCATTATAAGCGGATTTTAATTGTGTTGACAAGCTCCCGTATAGGGAATAGTATAACCCTAAGCCCAAGGACGTATATAGTAGGGTTTTAGGGCCCAAATACCATGAAAAAACATAGTATTTGGGCCCTACAACCCTATTAGGTCCTTGGACCCTTAGGGTAAGGTTCAGAGTTTGGGGCTCAGGTTAAGGACTGAAGGGTTTCTATAAATACGGGTGCCCATCCCAACATACGACATTGCCCGGTACAGTAACAGGGCTTTCCCGCCTCTAGTTGAAGGTAGGTAAAATGACCTAGAAAAGGGACTTATACGCTGGAGAAACTCCCGCATCAAGATTATCCTCCAACCTCGCCTTCGCCGCTCATGCGTGCCAGCCACATCTGCACACCTGCTCCGGGGTCATCACAGCTTTGAAGAAGCGGCTCACACAAAACAATTATCTGGGATGTAGTTGTGCCCCATGCGTGCTTGACGAAACTGCGTGAGCTCGGGTTGGAGTGGGTGTAGCGCTGAGAAAGTGGCATGAAGACCGCGAAGCTGTATGCCCATCAACATGTCCTGGTGCTGTTGCCTTGCAATCTGCAAACCAGTCTTGACAGGTGCAACACCGCGGCGCATGCATTGCCTGCTTCCGCCTCCTATAAGAAAAGATTCCAACAACAACGGCGCGTGTTCACCTTACATTCGCTTAGCTGAACCCTGTGCTTGTCCACGTCAGCATGTAATTAGAGGCACGCATACTCCCAAACAAAGCTGGAAAATATGATGCATGCCGTGTCTCCTGTATACCACCCAACAAGAAATAGGACATTAGAAGGACCCAACAACACGAGCAACAATGTCAAGGAATGCAATTTCCAACCTCCAAACCTTCCTCTCTCCTCATAATCCTTTCAGCACCCTAAACCCTCAACCCTGAGGATGATCCAGAAGTAAAACAGTCACAAGAAGACTCCCCTCATCCAGAGCAGGGCTCCCGTACTCTCATCAGAATTGCTCTGCTCCGTGATGCTAAACACACCCCCCATACCCAAATTCCAAAAAAGCACCCAAAAGCAGAAGGTCTGTTTTTGGGAAGAATGTTTGGGAAGAATATCGGGAAGTGGGGGTGTTGTAGCATTTTGTCCTGGTGGTAGTTCTTGTCCCCTGACCTATACTGGGCTGCGCAGCTCTTTTTTGCTTCCACCGGGGGTCACAGGAGGCAGCATCAAATGTAGTCGACTGCAATACTGGCGGAATCGCCTTCCGACCACAAAACTACCATGGGTCGGTAGTCGTCACTCTTAATCGCAACTGGCTTGCCGAATGGCTTCAGCCCCTCGAAACACTGCATGCTCCCATCATCGAAGTTGAACAGAATGGCAAGTTTGGTCTCCGCTTGCCAGTCGCGACTTCCTCCTGAGGATTCATAGGTTCGCTCGGCATATGCGCACACATTGGTGGAAAGACCGCCATGATACAAGCCCAGGAAGCCATCGTCATGCTCTGGATCTTGGAAAGGATCGGCGTGCACTGACCCAACCCCAATTCCAAGCGCGTAGTGTCTGTGATTAAGCAAGATGCGCATCAGAACTCGACCAGACAGGGGAGGGCGCGATGTGCCAAACATCACCCCTCTAGGCTGATGTTCTGAACGTGTGTTGGTCACCGTCTGTCCCTCGCAGACTTCCACCTCGATCTCCCCGCCATTGGGCTCTGAAGCATACGCAGACAAAGGATAGTGTTCAAATGGGGTGCTTGTGCAAGTAAATTGCAAGGGCCCAGTAGCTTCCTCCAAGCTATAAGCGCGGGAGATCCTTCGTGGGCTCAAGAACATCTGGGTTTCAACATGTTTGAGGTTGCGCTCTGCTCACAACTACAAAAGGAATTCCAAGGAAATTCTACTCCTGGATACTGCTGGCTACTCCTTGCTGGATTCCATTGAATACTTTGCAACTTCCCAAGTGCTGCAAAGCGCTGGAGAGTCTGTTTCTGGATGCCATAAAGACTCAGCCTTGCCTGACTGGCTACTGTGTGCTATGAGGCTGTAAAAAGACCGCCAATGACTCAATGACCTCCTGCACCCCTCTTTAATCTCTGCATGTAACTAGAACCCCCAAGATACCCCTGTTTGAGAAACTGTAAACCATGGTTAGGTGTATACATTCACATGCACGTACATCCCTATTACCCCTTTGAAGGGACCTTCAGTACGCCTGCTTTGAGAAAGCCACTGTCAAAGTGCTGCCCAGAAGCACAACGAGGAGGTCTGTTTGCTCGCCTTGCCAAGGAAATGCCGGGCTACAGGCGTGGGGCACTGGGTAGGGGGGGGGGCGGCCTTGGGACGTGCAAGCCGCAGACCTCCTGCTGCTGTCGCCTTTGTGCGAATCCACTGATAACCACGTGGAAAATGTGAGGGCAGTTGCAAGCATCCCACTTGGCCTTACTCTTTCAGATTCCCGCAACAATGAGACCCCCCTGCGCCCCTCATCCCAAACCCCCTTACCCAAAAGCCGCAGCCCATCCTTTTGCTACGAGAATAGGCAGCAAGGTGCGCCACTTGACCATGAGCTACCAACCTGCGTGATGGTGTGGTCTGGGGATACAAGACTTGAGGCTCAGGGTTACAAATGGGGAAGTAACATGGTATCCTGCAGGGCTCTGCGGATTTCCGGGGACTTGGAGGATGCTCGGAAATAGCCTAGCCTGTCAGGATTATGCAAAGCTGGAGTTGAGAACTTTTCATGCGAGCCTGACGAGTTCGGCAGGTTCACATTCAGCTTTGCGTAAAGGCTTGACTTGTTGGATCTACTTTTTCGACATCATGAACTCATTTGAATCGCTTAGAAGCCTAGAAATAGCAGGCGCTAGCTGGGGGTACTGGGCCCTCATTTCAAGCAAAGCTTGAGGACGCACGAGCATCTCTCAAGCTTGAGGTTCTTGCGGTCCTTTTAGATACGCGCCATTTAGCAATACGATGCTGACCTTGAGCACGTTCTGAGAGCGAACTCATGCCAGAGGCACAGCGTAAATCCCGTTTACACTTCTTGGAAACGTCTTCTTTCTCACACTGGTCCCTGCACACAAACACGTCAAGCTGTGGTCCTCGTCTAGAGATCTCCACACAGGACCCCGCAACTCTCACAAACATCTCTTGCCACCATTGCTTGGTCAACCTTGTTGCGAAACACAAGAAAAGCTATGAAGCTCAACTATGAAAAGCACCTGAAAAGCACCTTACAACCGTGAGACTGCAAGGTTCTTGAGATGAACCCGTATGGGTGGTTTCGTTTGGATCCCTATTATAATACGGCACCTAATATTTAGGGCACGCAAGAAGGGATCACAACCACCCATATTTCACTATAGTTTCATAAATACTTTTAGAATGCCTTTTATCACTTGCGCCAATGCTCTTCAAACCTCTTCCGCAACCTGCGCACCCTGTGATTCGAACCCCTACATCCCTACCCCGCAGCCTTTTGCAACTACAGTCATTCGCAAGAATCCTTGCTCCTGATTATTTGGTTCACAACATTCGGAAGAAGCAGGTCTCCTGCAAACTATCAATTTGCTCAACCTCCTCCGGCATAAGCTCATACACGTGCCAATATAAAAGAGCCGACGATGCAGAGGCTCAACATCGATGGTTCCGACGCAAACTGGGAGTCCTCTCATACCAGTACATATCTCAACATGCTTCAATCCTCGAAGCACTGCCGAGACCAGTCAGGTGCCTTATCTTTGGTAGCATCTATGTAGCTCCTAATAACATTCAATGCGTCATTCCCTACCAACAACCAGCAAGCAAGATTACCCTAAACCCTCGACCCCACCCTAAACCCTAAATCTAAAGCCAAAACCCTAATCTCCAGTTCCGATATTTGTTCATTGTTTTCTCATTCCAACCCTACACCTCTCAATTCCCAAACTCTCCAATCCCCTAAACCCCTACAAGCCTAGACTTCCTACACCCCGAAGTCCCTACACCCATACACCTTGGGTCCTGCCCCCACGCATTAACAGTCTATAATAGGGATCATATTAAGGCCTATGTATCATTGTATTATGAATGCTATCAACTGTAATGAGTCCGGGTGGTACCCAGCCCTAAACCCTAAACCCTAAACCCTAAACCCTAATTGTAGCTAAAACTTGGGTTTCCATTCGCGGGCCTGACTCGGCCAGCTTGGAGTCCCCTCCAGGCAGCAGCCTCGACCTTGCTGTTACTTAGGGGTTTGCTGGTTGAGGCGTTAAGGGACTTAAGGTTTGCGGGTTGAAGGCTTAGATTTTAGTAGGTTCGGGTTTTTCAGTTTAGGATTCAGGGTTTAGGGGGCTTAGGGTTTAGGATTTAGAGGTTGGGGTTTCGGGATTTTGGAGGTATAGGATTTAGCGGTCTAGAGGATGTAGGGTTGAGGGGTTTCGGGCATTTAGGATTGTGGAGGTTGAGTTTTCAGGCTTGGAACGGGAACTTCAATGTCATCGGGGTTATATAGGGATGATGGAAAAGACAATGGAAACTTCTATTTAGGGTTTGGGGATATTATCTCCCAATAACGGAGAATCAAATGGAAAAGAAAAATGGAAAATGAAATGGAAGCTGGGCGTCCTATGGGGTCTTAACCATAGGTCAAGGAGTTCTACTTATCTTGCTGGCCCTAATCCCTAGACCATAAACCAGTTGTTAGTAGGGAATGAGGACTGCTTGGGTCCAGCGTGTCGAAGAGAGACTGGAAAAGAACATGGAAGTCGCCCTGTGGGGTTTAGGTTTAGGGTTTAGGGTGTACGGTGTAGTATGTAGAACGGAGCAACATCAAATGAACACTACTGTGTAGGGCTTAGGGTCGAGAATGCTCGCATGGAAGGACCATGGTAGAGACTACTAACGGCTTAAGCTTCAAAGTGAAGAAATGGAAAAGAGAATGAACACTTCTGCTTGGGGCTGAGGATTTGCAATGAAAGAATGCAAAAGGAAATGGCAACTACTAGCTACTACTACAGGGGCCGAAATAATTACCAATATCATTTTTAAGTCCATTTGAGGTACCATATACTATAATTCTACAAGGAGTATGGAACCTAATACTGGTGATTATTTAGGCCCCTATATTAGACTCAGTAGACTTTACTATATGACATTGTTGGATAACTGGGGTTTACATCGGGGCTATAGGGATCCGTACCTCCATTCCCTGATGAAAAAGCAGCAAGTGAGTAGCGTTTTTTGGGCGGTCGCACTCAATGTAAGACTATGTTCTTTAGATAAATTACAATACACCCAAAAGGAGGATATAGTCTTATTTTTTTAATTGGGGTTGATGGTATCCCCAATAAAATACTACCCAAAACCCTAAAACCCACCCAAGTGACGCAGGCATCGTAGACTGAGGCATTGCGGCTCAAGGAGATATCTGTCTCCTGCATCCGGCTTTCGTGGTTTAGGCTGGTAACAGTCCATCTTAAAACCCATATTTCGGGCTATGTATAACGAAAAAACTGTACTCTAATGATTGTCCAACTGTTACAGAGTGGGCAGTACCCTAAACCCTAAACCGGTTTAGCCTGTTTAGGGCTGGCTTAAGGTTTTTCTCAACCTCTTAGACTTTTACGTCTTCCTCACTGGGACAGGTTCCCCTGCTTAGTGATCACTGTGTATTTAATGCTTTGGGGTTTAGGGATGAAGGTTCAGGGTTAGGGATTTGGGTCGGACACTTGGGTTTGAGTTTGAGGCGTGAGGGCTTAGGGTTAGGGGTTGGGGCATTGTGGGGTTTCATAGGAATGTCGAGAGCTGCTTGCTAGCCACGTCGAATGTTTCTTCCAGAGCACAAAATCGATCATTTCTGAGTGATGTTCAACGCTTGGGACAGGTAAAAAGAAATGTCTAGGGAGCGGCCAAGGTATGGGAATCGGGGATCTGCTCCTGCAGTGTTAGCACTGCCAGGATTCGGTACGCCCTTGATGAGAACTTGCGGATGTGAAAAAAATGCAGGGGTTTGCTGTGGACTTGCCCAGAAGCAGGTTTGCAACCAGATCCTCAAACTGTCGCAGTCTGCTCTTGATACCATCACGTGGAACTGACGAGTCGCCAAATGATCACTGGATTCTGACATGTCTCTAAGGTTCCCTACTGCATCCTGAAGAACAAGCAATCCTAGTTGCTATTCCATTCTTGTCACCGGAACTATCTTCAAATTGGGTTCTGCATCCAGGTCGCATTGCCATCTACCGTCGTGAGGTGGTACGAGATTTTCTCCTGGTCTATTGGTAGCAAGGCGGAGGCTGAGATTTCCTAAGCCGATAACTTCAAAATCAGGGTCAACCACCGTGCAGCAGAACAATGGCATGACTCAAGAGGTTCACCAGTATGGTTTAGGAGGACCGCCCCACCATTTAATCATGGTATAATCGGAATATAGGAGGACCCTCATACAATCCTAATTATCCTTTATAGTCACTGTTGCTGAGTGGGGGGTCCACTCAAAGTATGGTTGGTATTATGGCAATGACTCGGCAAAGGCCAGGCTACCAAGGTGACAAGTGATACCGCCAAACATGTCATGCTTGCAGGAAGTTGGGAGCACAGCGGCTTTCTGATGACGGAAGAGTAGACCTGGAACCCTAAAACCTAAACCCTAGACCTGAAACCCTGCTCCCCCTCCACCCCTCCTCCACCTCCCTCCTCCTCCTTCTCATCCACTTTCCTCTTCCAGATGATTCTTTGGGCAGTGATATGACCATTCATGACTGGAATGTCAGAGCATCAGACAACCCAAACCTCAAACCTAAAAAGTAGTTTCCATTTTCTTCTCCGTTACCCCTACATAACCCTATACCCCCTTTAAAGGGACCCCTATGTAACCCATATTTGAACAACCCGTCGGCCAAACCCTCAAGCCTCGTGGGTCCTTTCTGGATCAGGTTCGGGCGCGTCGCCTGCTGGACAGGGGGAGCTTTGGGTGTAGTGTTTAGGGAATGAAGGAATGGATATTTATAGTAGTCCCTATATAACCCATGATTGTAGTCTCCCTTTTCTTTTCCATTCCCTCATTTCCAGCTAACCAAAGGCAACAACGAAGTGGGTTGTGGCATAATTTCGGGGTGTGACAGAAGACAATGTGTTTGGAATCCCTGAGCAGCAGCCAGCTCTGGATTGTTGCACATTATCCAGGTATGTTGAGGGCACACGGAAATTGCCATCCATGCAAGAACGCACCCGAAACTGCCACTACACCAGGGGGATAGAACAACATCCTAAAGGAACACCCATCGCATTGCAGGCGCTCTTCTGAATATCTTCATCTCTTCCACTGAAGAACACCTTAGGGGGCCTGTTTTGAGATTAGGCTCCCCTCTTTCCCATGCTTCTTCAGGCATGGGCAATGGATCCCTGTAGGAATCCCTACATTATGGACCTCTCGTAATCATCCCTACAACTCGTTCCACTGTTCCCAGCTAAGCGTGAGTGAGTCTTAGGGCTTGAAACTACCCAACTTGCATCGACCAGATTGAGACGTGGCTCTCTCATAGGGCTCCGTAACCATGTGACTTTCGCCTGGCTTTCACTGTTTGACAGCAAAAGTATTTGGGGATTCTAAGAGAATTTAAAGTTTTTGCCAGGGCTTAAGTAAAGACTATTGTAGATAAACTCTGCTTACACTGTGCCGAAGCGGCATCCAACCGTGAATCATGGCTGAAGCAGCATGCAGCAAAGGCAAGTGTAAAAGCGCAGAAGCAATCTGGCAATTTTGCGTGGGGCTTGGATTTTACATGCTACTTGGACAAACCTGGGGTAACAATGGGGTAGAACGCTTCCCCAAGCAACGTGGGTGCTAACACCTCTGCCTTTGAAGGTAGATGTCCATTTCGGCCCCATTGTTGTCGCTAAACTGGGTTGCTGTTAAGGAACTTAAATTGAGTTACCATAATGGGTATATATATATATATAGTAAATACTAGGGTTTCCCCAATATAGTAACTTAACTTAGGTTCCTTAACAGCAACCCAGTAACATGGGGCTCTGTGCCCCAACCCTGTTGTGCCATCCTGGGGATCCCGGATAAGGACATCTAGGGGTACTATACCCCAAAAGGGTTTAGGGTTAGGGTTTAGGATGGCTTAGGGTTTAGGCCTCTATATTGAGTACCATAGTATCCCCAACTAAAATACTACTCATCTAGGGGTACACCAGGATTAAGAAGGATTAGGTGGTATTGCATAGGGACATCACCCCCAGAATGGCGAGTCAAATGGAAAAGAGAATGGAAACTGAAGCGGAAACTGGTACTATGTAATTAGTGGGCTTATGGGGCTTAGGGTTTCCAACCAAAAACCACCAAACGGTCGAGAACCCGAGACCATTTAGAAGTTTCTACTTCTAGAAGCAGGGGGGCCCGTTTCATATCCCAATTTCTATAATCCCTTTTGTGCCGACCCCAAAAAAGGGACCCCTGATTTCTGGAAGCCCTGATCCCTATACACCATTGCACAATCCATGTTCTTTTCCATTATCCCAATATTACCCCAATATAATCCCTATATAACCCATTATAGTCGCTTCCATTTTCTTTTCCATTTTCCCAATATTACCCCAACATACCAGCTAATCCTTCATTCTATTTCGTTGCCTGGAGCCGATTCCTCTGGTGCAGAATGCTGCTTCTCCGGGCTGCCATCTTCCATTGCTGCGAGACCCCCAAATCGAAAGTAATCGGGAACCTCCCTTGCTTGCGAACTGCGGACATGGAATTCCCCAAGCCCATAAGAAGATTTCCATATATCACATATCCCATGTTCTTACTTAAGGGGGTTATACTATACTGAATGTAAGCTCTCCAAGATATGATCCAATCGGAAAGTGTGTGTTCTGTCTGCCCTTCCTGGTGGCATCATCAGGTGCCCTTAGTCTTGCGTGACTTGATGCTGAATTTGCCGGAGCAACCTGGCAATTGGGTTTAACAATTGCCCCACATCTCTGTAAACCGTCAAGTCTACAGCCTAAGGGTTCTGAGGAAAGATGGTTGTGCTGTTTTCACCGGCCTCATCCAGATATCAGGGGACCTGCAAGAGGCACGAGGAAATGTTTCTGTGCCAGCATTCAGTATCCTGCACTACGCGGGTGAAACCTTCTACTAATGCATTCTGCAGAAGTCCACAGGGAAACTCAAGGACAAGGAGGCAGAACTACAAATAGTCCATCGCAATGCTGGCCGCGTCGCCATCCCTCCAGAAGACAACCATTGGCCAATATTCATCACTTTTCATGGAAACTGCTTCGCCGAATGGCTCTAATCCGCTGAAGCACTGCATGCTACCGTCATCGAAATTGAACAAAATGGCGAGTTTGGTCTCTGCGCCCCAGTCATGACTTCTTTCACCTCTGTGAACTCTCTTGTGATATGCAGCCACATTAACGGAATGACCGCCGTGGTACAAGCCGAGGAAGCAATCGTCATACTCTGGATCTTTGCGAAGGTTGGCGCTCTCTGACCCAACCCCAATTCCAAGTGCGTAGCTTCTTTGATGGAGTAATATTCGCATAAGCATTCGACCAGACAGGGGAGGGCGCGATGCGCCCAACATCACACCTGCAGGAAATTTATCCTTTACCTCCTCCGAACATGTGAAGGTCACGCTTTGTCCGTCGCAAACTTCCACCCCGATCTCCCCTTCAGCCGGCTCTGAAACATACGCGGACGACGGGTAGTGCTCAAATTGCGTGCTCGTGCAGGTGGATGCCAGCGGCCCAGTAGCTTCTTCTAAGCTATAGGCGCGGGATATCCTTCGCAGGTGCTTTGGCTCAAACACACCCGTAGGTTGCAAAGTCTTGAAACTTCAGGGATGTCTCGTCACAAGTCTCGTTACAACTAGCCATACTCCTGCAAGATGCACGACGCCTTGCTAGCAAACATGTAATTGCAAACCAGCTTTGCGCCACACCACATGTCTCAACATGCTGCAAAGAAGCACCACGAGGAGATCTGTTTGGCCTCCTGTGCCAAGGCAAGGCGCAGCTCAAGGCTTAGAGTCTCACGAGGGTTACGAGGGTTACAGAAAATCATACGGCCATCCCCTCAAGCAGTCCCAGGCACAGCGACTCAGTCATCCAATGGCTCGCACTAAGTACAAGTCTTACGTAGAGTGTTGAATTAGGAGCAAGAACCATTGCTGTGATAAGAACACGCTGAGCAGAAATCACATCTTAGCTGCTACTTGTTATGAATTTTACCACCATGAAGCTACTGAAGAGAACCGGCACAGCCTGAGGCACGTTTGGCTCCTGGCTAGCATAACATAGCCACACACATGTATTTGATTGACTTGCCCGTGCTGCTTGTTTGCGGCTTGCAAGTGCTGCTTGTTTGCGTCAACATCCGGTTGCCTTGATCAGTGCTCTCTTTACTGCAATTGCTGTTGGCCGCTGGCCATATTTGCAGGCAGTACTGAATTCCTTTCGACTTCAAGCTTGGCACCATACATGCCTTCTCCCCATCAATGCCCCCCCGCTGGGAAAACCTAGTTGTTCGGAGGCGCTGCCAACTGCGCAATTGGACTGATGGCTGCAGGGACAAAACGGGCCTCCACAATAGAAGTCCTCAAAACAAAAGGGGCGGGTCCGGCAGATACTATGGCTCCCAGTATAATCAATAAGGGGAGAGAGATCCTTTGGCTTCTATTACAAAGATTAAAGGAATACAGTAAGGGCAAGAGGAAGGGCAGGGTTCTTGGTGATAGGAGAGAGGGACGGAACGTGAAGAGTTCAGTTCAGTTTCACAGGAAATAGGAAGAAGGGCTGGGTCCTCGGTAACAGAGCTCAGCCTGTATTACTAATTAAAGTCGCCCACCAAAGCCCTCTTTACAAAATTGAGCCCCCCCAAATCTTTCAGTTCTGGGAGTCTGCTGGACTACAGCGACAGCACTGTTTCAGAAATCATTGGTTTAAGAAATTGAGCCCCTCGGCGGCCGCGCATATATTTTTGGTTCGAAAGTACAGGGCAAACAGAAGTTAAGAAATCGAGGGTACTCTGACCTCGCGGGAGACAATTGATTCATTTTGTTTTTGGCTGAAGTTCATCATCTGGCCTTTTTCGAATTCACTCCATTTCGGTTAAATTTGAATAGAACTGGCCAGGCCCCTTATAGAAATGATTAGAAATGGTCCAACTCTTCTCCACATTGATGAAATGTCCAGATTTCGAAAAAAAAACACACACACAAACACACACACACACACACACACAAATTAAGAAATTGAGGGGCTAGTTTTCTTAAATCTAAGAAACTGAGGGGCTCAATTTCTTAATTTGGCCTTTTTGGAAACCTCTGAGTTTTTATAAGAAATACTACAACTGCTTCATTTCTTAATAAGAAATACCACAGCTGCTCCATTTCTCGAATTCCTTTTCTCAAATTCCCGAATTAAGAAAGCTATATCAAAACAAAACAAGTCAGCTAGACTATTTTTGATAAAGAACTGTAGGCCTCATACATAAGAAATCGAGGGTACCCTCATCTGAGCGTAGCTGTTTTCTTAAGCAACGCTGTCACTGTACCTACCCTGATGTTTAACAGCCCTCCCCCCCCCTCGCACTCATCGGCATTTGCGGTGTAAGCAACGGAGTTTAAACCCTAAACCCCAAACCCTAAAGCTATTGCAGGATGCGTGGGAATCCAAGGGCGCCGTACTATCGAGCGTGTTTCAAAACCAATTGGAGGGATCTGGTTTGATCATTTGGGGAAGAGAAGGTCGCGTATGCTTGTAAACAAAGGCCTTGCTTTTATCTCAAATTTGTCACTGTCACTCTTCTTCGAATCTCCAGCCCTCGGCCCTGCACCCTCATCTTACTGGGGCTTAGTAGGGAATGCGGGAACACATAACACGTGGGTTATACACGGATGATTTCCCTTAATTCCCTACTAACAACCAGCAAGTAATTGATGCGGATGCTAAAACGAGCAGTTGTTGTTATTGCAAGTCTTGCTACTAACATCATCCTAAGTCATGTCGCGGTCATGTTTAGTTTAGCCCAAACCCCTCTCGACCCAGTTGCCAGTAAAAACAAACTCTAAACCTCCGAACCCAATGTAAATCCTAGACCCTCAAAGCCGAATCCCCGCACCCCCCCCAAACTGGGTTGCTGCTAAGGAACTTAAATTAAGTTACTATATTGGGGAAACCCTATTAATTACTATATATACCCCTTATGGTAACTGAAATTAAGTTCCTTAACAGCACCCTCCCCAAAACCCCAAAGCCTGGGATCCCAAGTCGCTGAACCGCGAATGCCAAACCCTTTAGGTTTTAGGGTTTAGGGTTTTAGGGTTTTAGGGTTTAGGGTTTAGGGCTTAGGGGTTTAGGGTTTAGGGTTTAGGGCACCCCTCCATTGGCATTTCAAATCCCCCAAAAAACCGACCCCAAGTTTCTGGCAACTACGACATAATCCCTATTCCCTAGAAAGGGGTTAAATAGGGGTATATGGGGTTCTATAGGGGTTATATAGGGATAATGGAAAAGAACATGGAAACTACCAAATAGGGATTGCTTTCCTTGTCCAGTAGGGCGAGGGCGGGGCTTTGAACAGGCCGGGTCGACGGGGTCCTTGGAAAGTTTCCTGGCCTTGGTAACGACTTTCCTAATCTTCTTGATTGTAGCAATACCCGTTTATTGCAAAGTAAACTTCTTTGGCTACGGCCATGAAACATGATGATTTTGTTGTTGCGCACGTGGTAGCTTAACGTTCTTGCGACCCCATGTTCATAACTGTATAAAGGAGAATTCTGTATGATCAGGACTCCATGTGCCATTGTCATGTCCATGTCACTAATCTAAGTTGCTGTGATGGAACTCATCAGGATATGCATATATGGTTCACAATATGGTTTCCCGTACGACGGTGATGTAGTTGAAGTTCCTTAACAGGACGCCAGTATTAGGACCAACCTAAAAACACGCGCAGCACTCTCGGTGCCTGTGGCTTCGTGGAGTTTCTGCTTCCGGCTATGACGCAACGGTCTTGGCCAAGAGAAGGACTTCAGACTCATATGGGTAATGCTAGGAGATTGTGGGTTCCCACTGAGGAACAGTGTAAGTATCATGTTGACAAACACCAGGAGCTTGTAAGCGGTTAAAACGGGCATGCATCATTCCTAGGACCATGCATTTGTCCGTTGATGGAAATTAGCTGGGATTCTTGTGGGATAGTGGGCCAGCGTGTAGCTGTGGGCTTGAGGCTTCTGCTTTTGAGTTTCAGGTTTGGGGGCTTCTTGGTCTTGGACCCCCGTTTTGTACCTGGAATGTAGGTGAAAGGCCACTATGTGTAGCAGTCGGAAACGGAAACATATCGTCTGGCAACGAGCAGAAGGACATGTGCAGTGCTGTCAGCATTTTGGCTCGGTATCATCATCACCATCAGCATCATCATCATCATCATCATCATCGTCGTCATGGTCGTCATGGTCGTCATCATCATCATCATCAGCAGCAGCAGCTGCAGGCTGCAGCAACTGATCATAGCCCCAGTCGTTCTCGGCAGAACAATGCAATATTAGCATTGCACTGGAGCAGTGCAATCTATTAAGTGTAAAAACTCAGAAGCACACTGTTCGCAAGCAATCAAGTTTTCAGGGCCGCTACGTACTCTCATGAATTCTTCACAAGGCGCGTCGAAACTCCCAAATACAAGCTACGCATACAAGCCAAAACACCCTGCTACTTGCAATCGAGGCTCTCTGCCGTCGCCTGCACCACCAGCCTGCATGTTGATCATCTTTTACTATACGTTAAGAGATTATGGAGATTATGGCTCAGGAGCCAAATTGCGGCTGCTGCTGCTGCTGCTGCTCTGCTGCCACTGCCTCTCCAACTAAAAACATCATACTGCCACCACAAGAACAGCAACAAATGTTCCATCGTGGTGGTGGTGGTGGTGGTGGTGGTGGTGGTGGTGGTGGTCGTGGTGGTGGTGTCGGTGTCGGTGGTGGCGGTGTCGGTGGTGGCGGCGGTGCGGTGGCGGCGGTGGTGGCGGCGGTGGTGGCGGCGGCGGCAGCCGCGGCGGTGGTGGTGCTAGTAACCGTTTTGGTATTTGCAGCAGCACATGTGGTATTGTCCGGTCTCCATGCAAGCCACAGCTATTTTCAACAATCGCCATTGTAACGAACGTCGTCTCAGCAACGTGAGTACCAATTTCATGGAAGGCATCTTGAAGCGGAGGAAAGTGTTCTCAGTACTCTATAAGCATGCACCTTTCCAATGGCAAGGCAGCAGTCTTTCGAACCCTCTAGTAGACTTTCCGGCTTCCGCGGCCCAGCAACATACTTGGGAACAAGACATGCAGACGGGAGGCGAGAAGGCTTGAGCAGCAAGACTGGTGAACCGTGACAAGGCTAGCGAGAACACGCGTAATCTTGATATCCACGTCAAAATCAGGATAGTAACGGTATGTAACGCTTTTCTGAACTCTGCGGCTGTAACTGCGGTAATGTATACACCAGGATGCGGGCACTCACAGTTTCGGGTGGGACAAACCGGCAGCCCTTCCCACAAGCAGCTATCACGTGTCAGGCACTACCCCAAGAAGCGACAGAAGGGAGTTGTATTCTGGAAAGAAATGTAATGCCCTGCGAGCCATCACTAGCATGATTACCATGGTTTCTAGCAGTTGCACAACCCCAAATGAATAAAACCTTGCGAGATTTCTCCGCCTCAACTGGCCAACTTGCAGCCCCCTCCAGGTGGCAGCAGCGACGCAAGCATCGTAGATAGATGCATCGTCAGTCAGGGAGATCTCTGTCTCCTGAGCCAGGATTCCAAAACTATTGTTGTCAGCTTCATGGAGAGTTGAATGCCAGCATGCCTTCAGACGTGCTCCTAGAATCCTAGAACCCTTTACGTGTGGGGCAGGCAGATCCCCTTTGGCTGTTTTCATGTGTTTTCAAAACTCGGAGCCCCAACAGACGGCTTCAAAATGTAGGAATCCTCGTTCAAGCAGCAAAATGCCGGCAATCGGAACTTCTTGCTCAACGCGTACCCACATGCTACCAGCAAACTGTACACAGCGCAGAAATCCGAGCTTTGGTCTTTGTGCTCCATTGCCGCATGAAAGAAACACAGCCTGCGATTGAGAATCCACACCACACAAAGGGCATGGCTTTGCACACTTGCCCAAGGTTTGCTGTACTCACGTTTTAGTCCAGAGCAGGTACAACCTGGCAACCTGTGTTTGCAAAACTTGTTGAACTAGAAGGGTGTCCGGCAGCTGCGGCCACAGCTGAACCATTTGGTCACTCCGCGCGGCAAGAGGACAAACTCTTCGGTGGGCATACATCCCAGATTCAGATAGCACTATTGCAAAGTAGTTGAAATATCTCCCCAAACTCCAACCTAGCTCTTGGCTTTTGCCGTGGAATTTGGTGCTGCCCCACCCAGTAACAGTCTATAGTAGGTGTGATAACAAGAATATTGCATGTTACATGCCATTCATCTGTTGGTGGCTGGGGACAGCATCCAATGTACATTCAACGTGGAACTGGGTAGCCCTAAGCCTAACTGAACCTCTCTTTCATATGGCAACTGCAAAACCTTGATGGATTATCGGGCAAGACGCGGATTTAATGGCAGCCCACCTCTCAGCGAGCAAGATACGGATTTAAAGCCAACTCGCCTCTTGGCGCGTAAGACACGGATTTAGGCCAACCCAGCTCTTAGCGGGAAAGATATGGATTTAGCCAACTCACCTCTTGGCCGGCAAGATACGGATTTAAGGCCAATCCGCCTCTTGGCGGGCAAGATTCGGATTTGAGGCCCACCCACCTCTTAGCAGGCAATATGCGGATTTGAGGCCAACCCGCCTCTTGGCGCGCAAGAAACGGATTTAGGCCAACCCAGCTCTTAGCAGGATAGATATGGATTTAAGGCCAGCTCGTAGCGGGCAAGGCGGGCAAGATACGGATTGAAGGCTAACCCAGCTCTTAGCGGGCAAGATACGGGTCTAAGGCCAACCCAGCTCTTAGCAGGCCAGACACGGATGGTTCGGGCTTTAGGGTTAGCGCTTTAGGATTCGGCCTCTAGGGTTTGGGCTTTCGCTATGGGGTATTTTGAGGGTGACATCATTTCTTAATGTTGTGGGACCCAATGGGTGGGCGCGCGTTTTCCTATAACTTCATGCTCGGAATGAATGCTGTGGCTTGAGATGCTGAATCCTAAGCCAAAAGCCCTAAACCCCTGGCCAAGTCACCCTGCCATCCATCGTGGTCAGGCGATAGGTTATCTTGGTTGCGTGGCGTGCCTCGACCTCTGCGTTTTTGATTTTCTGGCTCTCATATTCACTTATTGGTGGTTAGCCGGGAGAATAAGGAAATATGTATATGTATATGTATATATATACATATATGTATATCTATAGGGGGTTGGGGGTTTAAGGATAGCAAAGCATAAGGGACTATTTTTACATAGGACATATGTAGGGATCGTTGTCCCATCTTCCTCAGCAACTACCAGTAAGTTGATGTTTGTCTAGGGTTGCCACTGTGAGTATTTCTACTTGTGCATCTATACATGATGTGAAGGCGTCTATCAATGCACACACACATACACACGAGGGCTCCATACCGAGAACGACCCAAAAAGCGAACCAACAGAACGACCACAAGAAGCCTGAGACCACTTCTCTAGGGCTCCAGGCCTATAGCGTATGGCGCTAGATTTTTGGGTCCTTCCCAATCCCCCTCACTAATCCCTATAGTAGTCCCATATATAATCCCCCTTATAACCCCCCTTTAAGGAGTTTAGATTATGACTCATATGGAGTACTGGTTTCCTCCATAAACATGCAATGCGCAAGGACTCCTAGGCCTCGCTGAGTTTCGGTCACCTTTCAAGAAACTAACCCAGACCCCTGGGAGGATCTAGAAAGTGGAACCCCCAATTTGGTACCCTATACTACTATTGGGTANNATCCTCCCAGGGGTCTGGGAAGTAGTAGCTTCGATTTCCTTTTCCATTATCCCAATATTACCCCAATATACTATAGTAGCTTCTATCCCAATATCACCCCAATATCCTGTAGTAGCTTCTATTCAAATATTTCCCGAATATACTAAAGCAGCTTCTATCCCAATATTACCCCAATATACTATAGTCGTTTCCATTTTCTTGTCCATTATCCCCAATATTCTAAAAGGACCCAGAACTAAATCCAAATGCCCTTACGCCTGATAAGAGAATAAGTTTATCAACTCGTCATCGTTCCGCACAATGTCTCATAATGGTACCGAATACGTAGCTTTTTTCAAGAAGTCACTCAATCAGATCCATTCTCTGAATGATTTGTTTGAAGCTCAACAGCGGCAGATGCAGCTCAGTAAATTACCAGAAGCATGCTGCGAGCAGTACTAAAGCGTGTATATTGCCAAGTGAAAATGCAAACAACGAGAAAGTAATCATGGTGAATGCTAGTAAGAACTAGAACGAAGCATGTTTCCATCCGCTGAGCCGCTGAGCTGCATGCAGCGTGATTATAGCAAGCATTGTAATATTGACAGTGGTTTGGTGCTTTTCAGGAATAGCAGACAGTAACAGCGGCTATACTATTAACATAAGGTGGGCTGTAGTACGGATATAACATCAATAACGGCGACCGTAACATTGCATTGCTTATTCTTTTGCGAAAGAGAAGCTGACAATAGCAACGCTGGGAAATTAGAGTCTGGTTGCCACATTTACAAAAACGTAAAATACGAAGCTGCCATACTAGTTTTCATGATATACACGCTTGATTACTTATCCAAAAACCAACGGGAGCTTTAGTAAAAGACTATTGTCAGTTGCGGTGTCAATGGTAGTATCACATCTGATGGCTTATTCTCCAGAGGGAGTAAGTATTATGTGAAGTAAAACTACTAGAAAGAAGGTAGAGTGTGGCTTTCTTGTTCGGAACTATAGTCGAAGTCTACAGACTAATGCTGAAAATCATAACTACACAACCAAACCTTCTGAATGCATCTCAGGGGGACTAACTTTGTCTAGCAGCACACTAACGGACCTAAGCCCTAAACCCTATGGTATGATAAGGATATGAGTTCAACAAACACCTTACAATGCAGAGGGGAATTACTCCCCTTGACCATTTGGGTTCAGGGCTTTGACAGGGCTGTTGCCGCGCCAACGAACAAATCCTGATAAAATCGAAGCCCAGCCGGTCCATCTGCCAGAACCACAAATACAAGGACTGGGTCATGGTACAGGTTGGAAGTTCAAAGCCACAACTTTGCGGCAATATCAAGGCATCTTTGTGGCAGTGTGAGTGAGGTTTAGGGTCTCGATTGCAGAATGAGCATTCCAGGGGATAGGCTCACTCCCTGGTCCCTGGATGGCCATCGAGGTGGAGAATCATGCCTTGAGGTAGTCCGTATACATACCTATACCCTATTATGTGCCCTTAACCCAGAAAGTGCCCTGGAAGTCAAGTGGACCCTAGGCCCTCAACCCTGAACCCCAAACCTGAAAGGAGACCAGTCAACCCTGGCGCCTCGACAGTCGTCACGGCATCGGGGACTGCAGCAGGGCCTTCTGGATTCTACACATGAAATGTAATCTAAAACTCCTTAAAAGGCCACTTCTGCAGGGATTGTAGCTGGGAGTACTCTGGGGGTTATTAAGGGGGATACTAGACTTTAGCTCACATGGATGCCGAATATCACAGGCATTATTAAGCGGAATACTAGGAGTTTAGACTATAGCTCACATGGAGGCGCAGTTCTCAATATCAAGATCCCCTCTACATATGCAAGCCGACATCCGCGCTGCAGGGGCCCTCTTGATAACGAAAAGGCCCCATGCCTCTATAAAACCAACCAAGTACCAGGACAATGGTTATCATGTTAGCTGCTCTACTACTTGGGGCTAGCAAACTTCTTCAACATCCTGCGCACTTGTGATTCCGGGTTGCTGTCAAGGAACTTAAGTTGTGTTACTATAATAAGGAAACCCTATTGCTTGCAATATACCCTTACTGTAGCAACTTGAGTTAAATTCCTCAACAGCAACCCGGGATTTCGATTAATTATGAGTTCTGTGCAGCTGGAGTTGTAGATCCTCATCAGTAGTCATCAGGAGTCATTAAGAGTAGCCTATCTTGCAAGGAAACTTTCCCTGCTTTGCAAGGTTAGCATGTAACAAACAGTTTCGAACAAACCTGCCGCAATCATACTATCATGCTGTGCAAACACCGCACGCAGCCTATGCTGGCAAGGTGCCTTCAGCTTGAGTGTCTGCCGAAGGTCCTGATCATGGAGAGCACCCATGCCTTGATTTATGTACCTCCCAGGGTTTCGCAGCGTAGCTATCGCTGACTAGTGCTCAAACACCAGACCGTGAACGCTACGCTGACTTGAGGCCGTACAGTATTGGCCGAACTTGCCAGGCTGAATTGTTTCTGGGCTCAAGGTAAGATATGGCAACAGCTGAACCATCGAGATTGTCGTCAAGCCCGGCCCCCACACTTTGCCGCCTACTGAAGCGCTAGGGCCGAAACTGCTTGGTCATTGGGCCTCACAAGAACATCTAAACCAGTGTGTCAACCCGCCTGACGAGTTGCAGTCTCTGAATGCGAAGTCTCGCAAATGACATGTAGCTGGGTCTGCCTAAGGCTTCATAAGCCAGTTCTATGACCTTCTGCCATTGGACTTAAACGGCAACCCCGAATTCCTGAATCCTAATCCCATGACCCCTGAATCCCAGTTTGTTAGAAGCCGCCTGAGACTTAAAAGAAGTCGCCAGGTCATTTAGTCAAAGGTTCGAAGGACTCTTTCCTGATACCATGGCCAGAAGGCCAAAGCCATTACTCCATTGGGAAATCTATTGGAGATATATTACATGGAAGATGAAATGGAAACTACTATGATTATAGGGTATATACTTGAGTTATCTGGAGTTATGAATATACAGCAAAACTTGAAAAGCACCCAGGACCCAACACTTCGCAACTCCATGCACTGCACAACTCCTGGAGCCACCGCTTCGCCAGCAGTGTCTGCTGCCACTACTGCTACTACCACTGCTACAGGACTGCCCTCTTCCACGTCCATGGCTTCGTACAAGCTGTAGAGCCCTTACTCAAATCAGCGAGTACGTCTGAGCCGTCTGAGCCAAACGACTGTGAATTCTCAGCTTGAGCAAGATCAAATGTGGTATCCCAAACAGGAACCCCTAATTGTGGGAAACCTCTGTGTCAGCAGCAGCGGTGCTTGGACTGGACTAGCTGGGCACTAGCAACTACCGCAAAACGGTATAGGCTACCTCAAATGACCTCAACTTCTTCTGGCAGCACCAATTGTATCTGTCGATGATGTTGTTATGACTGTTCTTCTTGATTGCATGATGGCCAAGACCTTATAACAAGCACCAAAGGTAATAAAAAGATAGGAGGCATTCCAACACTGCAGAAAATGTCTGGCTCCAAATGCTAAGACTGCCGGGGATGTAAACAGATTGGTTGCCCTTCATGGGTACATGACCCATGAGGAGCCTAGTTCTTTGAACTCATAGTCCTGAAGACTGCCCAAAGTGGCCGTCCATCCGTGATGTACTCTCCCTCTATGGGCATAAGGTGTCTGGAGTTTACAGCCATGTAGCGCTCTGGCCTCCAGGTATAGGACTTGGGACGGAAGGGTCCAGGTTTTCTTACTGTTGCTAACCCAGACCCCTGATTGACCAACCCGCTCCCCTTAATAGTGATTATAATCGGGATCCTTATATTTCGGCCCTTAAAGGAGGGGCTGCATAAACCATAGGTCTACATTACTTGAATTGGTATTGCTACTGCAAGAAACCGTGGGGCAGATCGAAACGCAGAGATCCAACCCAGAAAAGTCTGATGAACCGGACCCGTAGGCCTACCTACTACGTCATCCCAGCGTTTAGTAGTCAAGGTTTAGGGCTTATATTCCCCCTTAAGTAGATAACAAATATGGCCTAGGGTATATTCTATTTAGAAAAGATCCCCAAAACCCCATATTCTGTCTACAGAAGGGGGACTATAGGGTTTAGAACATTTTCTTGAAATCAGGATCTCCCCACAAAAAGTCTGTATGCTTAGGTCTTAGGAGTTTAAAAGGGCGACTACACGCTTCAACAGCGAAACATGCTGCAGATGGCAGGGGAAGCAATCCTGGCCTTCATCATTGCCCGCCCTGAGGGACGGATGCAAGGAGGGCTACTGCTGCATCGTGGATACATCTTCAGGATTTGTAGGCAAAAGCAAGCTCGGATTCTCCATGCCTAGAATCTGAACAATGTTCCATCCGGCCTGGCACAGCTTGACAGCAAAGTGTTGAAGGTGATGGCGTCTGGCCTTCTCTTGGCAGGCATCATCAAATCTGAAGATATCTAGTCACCTGCTTCTACCCAATGCCTCAAGGCTCGGGAGGTTTCTAGCTAGCGGACTTAGGAAGGATTCGACCTCGTCGCTTAGTTCCACGATGTTGCTGCCTTATGCTAACATTGTGGCAACTTGCCGACGTTTGCTGGCAATGCTTCCATTTACAAGAACACGTGTTCTCCCATCTGCCCTTCAGGCAGGGCCATACATCAATGCTAAGGCCAATGAAGCTAAAACCTGGCTTCTCCCGCATCAGGATTCAAAAGGCAAACAAATCAGGAACCGAACCAGGTGAAGGTCAAAACCTGATCAACCTGGATGCAGCATCAGGGATACTGGGGCACGCTGCAGGGCATCCGCATGCAAAACATGTCAATTACATGTGCGTTGTAGGCTGCGGTACACTGCGTTGATGCTCACATTATTTCGACCTTCTTTGCTTCTGTGATAAGATCAGTGCTTCAAACTTGACATCATGTGCAAGCTCTGCGAAACTGGAACGTGCATTCAGCATCCCAGGCTTCTTCAATGACCGCATACTGGCCGGGGCTTTTGCCTTATGCGCTTGTGTTGCATGTCCACGAGCAGGTCCTCTGGATCAAAGTCCGACCGCCGGGACTTTGCCTGAGGCAGAGCGAAGGTGCAAAACAGTGGGTCCGTTTTGGATTCTGGTATACTGTGGGTTGTCCGATTTGTGAACTTTAAATGGCACGTGGTCTTGACTACCACCAAAAATGTTGCATGAGTTTTCCAGCATCTCCTTGTGTGTGTGGCTAGGTTCGGAGATTCAAAATGAGCAGCCGCGTTGAGGCTTCTTGGTCTCCGCAGGTTTATCAGCAACAACTTCGATAGTCGGCTGTATTTGGTAGTTGCCCTAAATAGGGGATTCCAATATAGACCCCAATATACTAGAGTCCTTTATATAGGGACAAAATTGCACCCTTAAGTTTTTGAGAAACCCCGTTTGATACTGAGACGAAAGATGCTCAGAGGGCACAGGTGCTCGAAGACCGCAGCAGCCTTTGATGGCTTGCCTAGTTGTGTTGGGGTTATATTAGGATAATGGAAAGGAAAATGGAAACGACTACAGTAAGATAGGGTTATATAGGGTTTATTGGGGGTTATTCTGGGATAATGGAAAGGAAAATGGAAACTACTATAGTATAATAGTCTTGTATAGGGGTAATAAAGGGTTTATTGGGTGTTATTATGGGATAATGGAAAAGAAATTGGAAACTACTATAGTATAATAGGGTTGTATAGCTGTAATATATAGGGTTTATGGGTGTTTTCTGGGATAGTGGAAAAGAAAGTGGAAACTACTACTGCATAATAGGGTTGTACAGGGGTAATCTAGGGTTTATTGGGTGATTCTGAGATAATGGAAAAGAAAGTGGAAACTACCATTTAGGAAGCAGTACCGCTCTTACAGGTTACCCCCATCGCAATAGAAACCAAACAATGAACTCTTCGCAGAAAGAGCTCTTAGTCAAAACTCTGGGAAATGCTTTGCTGAGGAGCCCGCCTCAGCGTTCAGGACCATGTTGTAGCATGCCTTGTTTAGTCAAGGAGGAAGTCTCAACGTGCAAAATAATCCACCTTCACCTACCTAAAACCGGGATTCCAAATGGGAGGACTTGACAAAAAGCTCCTGACTTCTAGCCCCTTCATGGCAGATCTTGCGCATCAAGTGGAACACGATGTGCGAGAGAAAGGGGCAGAGCCTCACGCTACTGTCGGGTTCAAAGTAATGAGAATGAAAAGGGTCTCAGGGTATATTCTATGACAACGTATAGGGCACTAAATTTAGAAAAATATGTGTGGTAATTATTCAGGCTTGTACATTTGCCTTCTTCAAGCACAGAAGACCGGAAGGGGCATCGTCTGATGATTTCGGGTGGCTGGGGAAGCTGTGGCCCCTGCGAGGTCTGGACTGAACCCATACTCCAACTCCATCTTTTTCATCCAGTCGACCTTACATTGTGGGGTTCAGGGTTTAGGGTACTCATTTAGGGATTACTTTGGCCATATTTGGGCAGGGAAAGTAAGGGGGTGTAGTAGAGGATCCTATGATTACAGTAGCAAGGACACCTCAAACTCCGCTGAGAAAGGAGCAGCCAGTTGAAGCACTAGAACTGCAAGATATGCCCGATAAAGCTGTTGTAGTTTCCATGTTCTCTTCCATCATCCCTATCACCCCCATATTCTGTACTAAGAAGCACTAACAAAAGTGGTGATGCCGGTGGTGCCGGCAGCCGGCAGAGGCGGTGCGTGCTGCTGGCACCAGTCAGATTTGTACAAGGGGTCATGCTTATATAGTAGCCGTAGCAGCAGCGCGAGCAATGGTGGCTAGTCGGGCATGTCTCTAAATCGAGGTCCGCCTATTTACCCGGCAACAATGCCTGTCGCTTTATGATGACCAACCGAAAGTTCACTCCCCACACTTGCTTCCAGACTGCCCAGGCTCTCGAGCCCTTGAGTCGCACACATCGCACTTCCGGAATCTCGAACCCCAAGTTTCTGACGGCATAGCGCGGGACTGCGCATCGTGATAGGGCCTGCTGCTAAAGAGCTTTCTGCTTTGGAGGTTTCCGGGCAGTTACAACGCAAGGCGCCCTGAGGATCATGCTAGCTGTCCATGCCCAACTGTGATTGACAATGCTCAGCAACATGCAGCAGCTGTTTGCCTGCAAAACGGCCTCGAATCCTAAACCCTAAATTGTATACTAGTTTTCATTTTCTTTTCCACTATCCCTATATTTCCCTACTTACTCAGAGCTGAGAGTCTGACAGTGAGGGAGTACCAATCAAAAAATGCTGACCGCATCTTGCTTGTTGTGATGACTGCGCAATGCTGGTCACTTTGTCACCTCGCCGCTTCATGCCCCTCGGCCATACTAGGCGGCATGGTAAGCTCTGTTGGCAGGGGTCATGTAGCAAATTCAATGCGTAGCCAGGGGAAGGTGCTGAGATTCAAACCACCAGCACGCTTTTGCAGGCTTCCATATCACACCTGAGCTTGTTCTTTGACCCAAGCCTCACTTCGTTTTCACTTAGAAGCTGAGCTGGCCGCGCACAGCCACTCTTCAGCATCTTGGTAAACCAGGACAAGGCCACGCCTCACACCACAGTGGGCCACAAACCGCGCCTGGTGACAGTGGTGATTCTACGAATCCTTGTGGTCTCGGAATTCTCAGATCAGTTCGCAGGGGTGTTCAACATGACAGTCTGTAATTCCATCCATCGCATCAAGCAGGACAAGGGCAATGCAAGGGGCTTTGAAGCAAAGATGATTAGGCTTGAAGAAGAAAAGCTGCCACGTGCCATCTCTTTCAGGCTGCCCTGTTGGGGTGGGTGAGCAGTTGATCCAGGAGGCAAGAACCCTAAAGACAAAAGATAAAGACTGTGATCCTGTCGCTTGGCAGCCTTCCGAGGGCGCACGCTCAATGACCGCTGAGTAGCTCCTCACCTCCCCAGAAGCAGCCCAAGTCAAGCCATTTAATCCAAATCCATTGTAGGGCCAATTACAAGACTTTGTTTCCCTTTATTCGGGGATGCTATGAGGGGGAGATTCTCATAATCCCATCACTAAACTCAGTGCCTCAGCTCCTAAACCCTACTGCTGCAATCCTCGCCATGCCATGACACTACATCTGAAACAGCGGATGATGTACGCATTTTCGAAAAATCACAATAGCACGCCACTGC